TCATGAATCTAGGTCTTTCCATTACCCAAGTCCCACCTTCTGATTAACGACCCAAATTCACCCCTTCCTCCTCCAACATCACGTAGACCACCGAAAAATTTCTACACAAGTCATTGATTTGCCTTTACTATCGTTCTAAAGGTCACTGGTCTACTCTTGGATGGCGACAACCCTTCCTTGTGGCCTCTCTCTCTCTCAGAGGGAGTAACTGAATATACCGTTAGCCGGACCCTTATAGGTTATTGCCGTTGTGAGCTTTGCTATTGTCACTAGGGTCACTTCCCTCCTCCAACTTAACGAGAATGGAGTAGAAGTATCGAGATTATTTACTTTCCCTATTGTTTATCATCAATATTAAAGAATAAGATGATGGTGGATGAAGATGCCACTATAGATAAAGGATTCGAACTGGAAAGAGAGCGAAAGAGTAAATATATAGTAACATAAAAAGCCTAGTAGGTAACAACCGTGGGATATCTAGCCTCAACTAATGCTCACTCTTCTTCTACTGCATGCCCTCCTCCCCGGCCAACTCTTTCCCTGGTATTCTCCTTCACGAATATGGTTCATTCTCCTAACTCGGGTCCCACCTCCCACTTTCCTACCACAACCCTGCAACTTCCCCTCTCGCCTTTGTCGACCACTGACAATCATTGACTTCTTGCATGACCACTCTGATACCGGGTCGCCGGTGTCCCTACCTCATGGCCTCGTCTCCAAAAGAAATAACCGAAGGCGCCGCTAAACCCCTTAGAGGTGATCGTCCTATCGATGTTGCTAGCTAGCCACTGATGTCACCCGGGTGGCCGGATCATCGCCCTTGCTCCCCGCTCCAACAACATTTATATTTCCCTGTTATAGATTTTAGATTGTTCATGTTTCGTTTACGCAGGTATTACAAACTTTACCACAAAACACTATCCTTTTCTATGACACGTATTAATTACTACTCTTACTAGCTTTTTTTACAGCGTTTTAATAATACTATATATTCCTCTAAAGAGTGCAGCTGGTCCACTGCTGACATGGCACACCCATCTCTTCCAAAACACCCTATCGTCCCCCTGCCTTGAGCTGCAATCCGATGAACCAGCAAAACCGTGGACGAGCACCGCCGGTATTCCGCTCCCGAATTCCACAGATTTCCACTCCCCGCTCCCAAAGCCCCGAGACTTTATAGCCGGCGAGAACAAACCCAGCAAAATCCCATCTCCCAACCCAGAAATCCTCCCACACCCAGAAATGAATCAGCCTCTCCTTCCCCTTCTCTGAGATCTCAGCCTGAGCCTGCGCGCCGCGACTTCCACCGGAATCCTCCTCTCCCAGCCGCAGCGTCGCCGGATTGATTCAGGAGGTGGTATATCCGGATTGGATTATTTCATTTATTTCTTGGTTCCTGTCGTGTTCTTGCGCGGAAAGCTAGGATCTTGCCGCCGTTGGGCCGTCCCTGATTCCTCGGTGGTTCGTGTTTCTGCAGGCATTCTTGCCGGCCGGAGAAGCAGTCTTTGGTCATCTGCTCGAGGTAATGGCAACGGATAAGATTTGATTTGGATGCGGGGGGTGTTAGACTGTAAAGGCAGTATAAAGGCACGGCGCTCTGGCTTTGTGTTATCTGCTTTGAGCCGACCTCACTTGCTTATTTTAACTGAGAAATAAGGGGATCCAGATCAATGTTATCATGCTCTGCATTAACTACTAGTAGCATATTTTGTTTCAGTACAACAAATTTTAATGGAGTGCGAACTGCTAAGTGGTCTATTTAGGTTGAAACTCTTTGTTTTGTGGGCTGTTGTCCCCATTACTGTATCCAGTGATAATGTGATTGTTTAGCAGTTCATGGCCTCCTTTTTACTTTGTTTCCCTGTTACAATGTGATTTGATTTCTCACCATTTCGACTGATTGATTCCATGCGAGTCATTTAGCTTAGCACTGTGAATCTGTATGCTTGCTTCTTCCTTTAAAATTTGTCATGTTACATCCATTGGCCGTTGCAATGAGGAAAAACATATTTGATATCTGTTGGGAAGGAGGGGTTGTTGCTTGTTAGTGCAAGTTTGATTTCTGCTGTAAAATGCTTAGTTTGAACTGTTATTTCCTTTCATGCATGTTATCTGGAGTACAAAAAAATCTCAGTTATTATTCAGGAGTAGTTAATTATACTCAAGTGTATGCCATATGTGTGAATCGTTGGTTATGCATGTTGCCCTGATTCTCCTTATTTGGCTTTGCAAACAGAAGAATATAACAGAGGCTCTAGTTCAGATCATCATCAGACATGTCGCTGCTATCGAAGTTACGGTTGGTCACTGTGGATGTGACTGGTACTCTGCTTGCTTACAAAGGACGGCTTGGTGATTACTACTGCATGGCTGCTAAGTCTGCCGGAAAGCCATGCCCTGACTATGATCGAATGCACGAAGGCTTCAAGCTTGCATACACTGAGATGGCGAGGAAATACCCATGCTTTGGATTTGCGGCAAAGATGCCAACGATTGAATGGTGGAGGATTTGTGTCAAGGATTCATTTGTTAAGGTAAAACCATTTTGCAGATTTTTTTTTCAGGAATTAGCGTTGACCTTTTCATTTTCCTAGTGATCTGATTGTTCAACTTATACTGCAGGCTGGCTATGATTACGATGATGAGACATTTGACAAAGTGTTCAAGCGTATTTATTCCGCCTTCGGCTCCTCCGCACCATACTCGGTGTTTCCTGATGCACAGCCCTTCATGAGAGGGCTGAGGGAGAAGGGTATCACAGTTGGCATCGTCAGCAATGCAGAGTACCGTTACAAAGAGGTCATCTTGCCTGCGTTAGGGCTGAATCAGGTTTGATAACATCACACACGACAGTCACTGCCTTTCCAACCGTTTGTCGTCTTATAAAAGCAGTCACCTGATGCATGTCTTAGTTGTGCATCTAGGGCTCGGAGTGGGACTTCGGGGTGTTCTCAGGCATCGTCGGCGTCGAGAAACCTGACCCAAAAATCTACAAGATCGCGCTGGAGATGGCGGGGAACGTCGCACCGGAAGAGGCGCTCCACATCGGCGACAGCTACCGCAAGGACTACGTCCCCGCACGGAGCATCGGGATGCACGCGCTGCTCCTGGACCGGTTCAAGACCGCCGACGCCGAGAGCTGGAGGAAGTCCGGCGCGCCGGTGCTCCCTGACCTCGAGGCCGCGCAGGCATGGCTCACCAAGAACCCGACCGAGGAGCCACTAGGGGCCGCGCTGCTGCGCAGGATGGCCGAGAAGCTCTGAATCTCGCCCCCTGGGATAGTTCCTGTTGTGCTCTTGCTGGGGAGTGAGGGAGCCAAGGAGAAGGGATGTGTTGTAGTGATGGTTCACTGGCCAGTTTAGCTAGCTGGAGCTACTTGAACTCTGGTAGTAGGCTTCCGGTGCTGTGCTGACTGCTGAATGTGGCAAGTGATTCAGCCGTGCGACGAACATCTTGCAATGACGAATAATTCTAATCATGTTTCGCATAATGGAGAAATTTTACATGATTCTGCACCGCGTATGAGGTTGGTAGGATTGCGATGTTGGGGGTATTTTGAAACTCCCAAGATGATTGTGGCATCTCAGCAGAAGCCATATAATCTTTTGCAACTACTGTGTGGGCAGAGTGGGTGCAAAGCCCTCTGGTTGCTCTCCCTGGTTCTGTTGTTTGGGTCCCACTGTCAGCAACCAGGGCACCATCCAGTGATAGTTTCGTGAGTAAAGATTGGCTAAAGCCTAAAGGCACCTTCAGTGTCTTTGCCAGTGTCAATCACCTCGCCATCGACTGGAAAGGCGCCTTGACAAGTGAAGAGATCATCTGGGAGAAAATTTCCTTTCTCGCCAGGTGAGACCATCAACAGAGGGGGTAATTCTGTCGAGTATTCCCTCAAAAAAAGGGAAATATGTTGAGTATTTGGTATGTGGATAATAGTAGTTATGTCCAAGTATTCTCCGCCTTTCGTTGCATTTCAGAAAATCTATTGTGGCAAGATTGACTGCATGGATGTGTAATGTGCAATCCTTTTGAAATTTCCAGGGTTGCTGGGTAGAGAGAATTCCATGAAATGAAAACCAGACAGACTACAACAAATGTCAAAGGAAAAAAACTTGCTGCCCCAATGGTGAGAGACAACGGCGCAGCAAGGCGCGCATTTCCTTCTAGTTCTATACAACTAAAGCACACAGATGCCACTGCATAGCATGGTCTAAGAAAATTTGGAAAATGGTTCAAAAAGGAAAAGAAAAAAATGATGGCATGAGAATGACCATCTTACAAATGTGACTAGAAAACTAAATTTTACATCAGCGCCACAAGGTAATAGGGGCATGCTTCTCTCTTTCTTCGGGGAAACAGAGTTTTATTCATCATGGTGATCTAGTTCTACTCCAGGAGAGGTTTGGTTACATCTGCGCCGCCCCACTTACGCACACGGCTTGAAGCCAGCGCAGCCTGCGGTTGTAGGGCATGAGACATGAGCAAGGTGAAAAGCTCAGCATTTTCCATATGAACAACATTTACGTACAACATATTCGAAATCGAACAAAGGTGAGAAGGAATTTTATTCATACCTCTGCGTTCCAATCCGTTCCCCACACTATGAAGATCAAAATCAGTGTCTGAAGTGCAATCCCACAAAGCATGCCGGCCCAAATCCCCTAAAATCACAACCAATGTCGCAAAATTCATAACCAAAATTATCGCGGAATCACACCCCAAACATTCTTCTTCTTTTTAAATTTTGCAATTTGCAGTAGAGTTTAAATGACAAAACCAATTACCCCAACTCCGTAGCTGAACTTGTAGCCGAGAAGATACCCCAGTGGCAGCCCGAAGATGTAGTAACAGCCCAGGTTGATGTATGCGACAAGGCCCTGCCACCCTCCTCCAATGGCGACCCCTGAATAAGATGAGGTTGAGCAGACATGAACAAAATTACAAAATGAAACTAGCAATGGTGTGAGGGTAAGAAAAGAAACATGCCTGAAAGCACGGGCTGCACGCTGTTGAGCACCATGGTGAGGCCGAGCAGCCCCGCGATCCTGGAGACGGCGTGCTGGAGCTCCGAGTCGGTGGTGTAGATGACGGAGAAGCTGTCCCTGAAGACGAGCACGAGGGCCATGCAGAGCAGCCCGATGAGCAGCGACTCGCCGACGACGACCATGACCGCGTGCTTCGCCGCCCTCGGCCGGCCGGAGCCCAGCTCGTTGGACACCCGAACGCTGATGGCGGCGTTGAGGCCGATGAAGATCATGCCCTCCCATCCGTTCACATTCATGCTGCAAAGCCACAAATGTGTCAGATGGACAGCCATGAAAATGTAACGGGTTTTGGTAACGAGTGTCAAGTAGTACCAGATGCCGAGGGAGTCGACGGCGATCTGGGCGCCCTGGAGGTGGCCGGTGAGGACGGTGATCATGCCGATGTACCAGATCTCGAGGCAGAGCATGACGGCGGACTCGAGCGAGAGGCGGACGAAGGCCCACATGTCGCTGAACGCGGCCGCGGACCAGCCCCGCCAGCCGTCCCGGCACCAGCCGACGATGTAGGCGGCCTGGGCGAGCGCGATGGCCCAGAGCGAGACGTCGTAGGCGGCGGCGGCGCCGGGGAGGCCCCGGCCGAGGACGGCGACGAGGAGGTAGGTGAGCGCGGCGTGGAAGCCGAGCCCGGCCACGCCGACCCAGGCCAGCACCAGCACCTTGCGCTGCGCCTGCAGGAACTTGGCGGTGGGGAAGTTGACGGCGAAGGAGAGCGCGCCGGGCAGGATGCGGAGCGCGAACCGCGCCGCCTCGCGCGCCACGGCGGCGTCCTGGCCGATGGCGAGGAGCAGCGGCTCGGCGAGGGCGTAGAAGGGCACCATGAGGAGGGAGGCGGCGATGAGCACGATCCAGGAGCGCTGCAGGTAGACGCCCAGCATGGCCACCTGGCCGGCGCCGAACGCCTGCCCGCACAGCGTCTCCAGCGCGCTCCCCATGCCCAGCTGCATGCATGCCGGTGCCGGTCAGCAATGGCGCCGGGGAGAAGAGAGGGGAGGAGGAGAGGAGATGGGTGGGGGGTGGGCACGTACGAGGAATCCGAAGGAGAAGGTGGAGAAGACGGAGAGGCCTATGGAGGCGGCGGCGAGGGGCAGGTTGCCGAGGTGGCCGACGAAGGCGGTGGTGACGGAGCTGACGGCGAAGAGGCTGAGCGTGGCGATGGCGATGGGCGTGCCGATGCCCCACAGGCGCCGCGACTCCTCCCAGACCATCCGCGCCGCCTCCCCCGCGGCCGCGTCGTCGCCGCCGGTCCCCATCGTCGGCAGGTTCGCTGCAGCAGCTGTCAGCGGTCTGCGTCGGCCCTCGGCTATCCATCCAGGTATCTATACTCCACGCTCCGAGGAGGGAACGGAGGGCGACCGCCGGTAGGTAACAGCTACCCGCGCGCGCGCGAGCGAGAGTACCTACCCGTTGCGCGCGCGCGCGTGCACGGGCGTTTGTCGAGACATCGAACAGATCCTTAGATAGGATAGGATGCATGTGTTTATCTCTTGAGCGGCATCTGTGAATCTGCTGAAAACCGAATCGATGCAGCACGTGAAGAACTAGTAGTACTTTCATTGTTACCCCGAAAGAAATTACAGCAAATCTGCTGCACTTATTACCAGACTTTGGTGCCCAAAGGCATGCACGGTCTCGAATCTCATATAGGGTCAACAAGCCATTACGTTACAGGATGGTTAATAAATCCATACCACAAAATGAGAAACGTATACTCCCCCCGATCCAAAATAAGTGTCGCAGTTCTAAACTGGGGTTAGTTCAAAACTGCAACCCTTATTTTGGATCAGAGGTAGTAATACAATCCGTAGTAGTACTCAACAACAAGGATCGGCTGCTGTATGCATGCCCTACAACAACAAACAAAAGAACATAGATCCGTCTGTTAAAATTTACACACACAGGTGGTCTAAAGCTACTGGCAATCTCATGTATCATTTAGGGCATGATGATACATTTCACGTAGTCGAGGCGGGCATCAATCATATGCCATATCGAGTTCGGAAACACCCTTAGCGGCCTGCGGGGTGCCTGTTCCAGGACAGGTAGTTGTGATCTCCCAGTTTCCTGCAAAAAGGCCATAGTTTACAACGGTAAGAAGGCTCTCATCCAGACAGGTCAAAAGAAGCAATACTGGTTAGTAACATTACACAATTTACACAGAATGTGGTTGTTTTGTATCAAGTCCTACAGTGCTTGTTTTGTATCGACTCCGTTAAGTGGGAATACTTGCTTGATCTCCTCCAAAGGCGAGGATTTCCGAGCAAATTTAGGGATTGGATCGCAGCCCTCCTTAGCACCTCTTCCTCGAGGATCGTCCTCAATGGCATTGCCGGCAGCCCCATCAAGCATGGACAGGGCCTTCGGCAGGGAAACCCCGTGTCCCCGCTCCTATTCGTCATCGCCATCGATCCACTACAAAAAATCTTAGATGTGGCAGCTCGGAGGGGTCTCCTACATAGAATCAGGGGGCGGGGAGCCATGTTGAGGACCTCCCTCTATGCGGACGATGCGGCTGTCTTCTTGGCTCCGATCAAAAAGGATGTTGACAACCTGGCAAGCATTTTGAAGGGGTTCGGGGAGGTCACAGGCCTTTGCACCAACTTCCAAAAAAGCTCGGCGGTGCCCATTCGTTGCAACCACCTGGATTTGGGTCGCCTAACTCAAAGTTTGCCGGCTGCACAGACCTCTTTCCCACTGCGATACTTGGGGCTCCCCCTCTCTGTTTGGAAGCTAAAGTTGGTGGATCTCCAATTTCTCGTGGACAAAGTTGCAAGCAAGTTATCAACGTATGATGGCTAAAACATCACCACCATTGGACGTACGGCCCTTGTCAAGTCCGTGATCACTTCCCAAGTGGTCTACCCCGCCACCCCGTTGGTCATCCCACCAACCATACTTCACAGCGTCAACAAGCTCGAGAGAGCTTTCCTTTGGTCCGGTTCGGACAAGACAACGGGGGCCAAATGCAAGGTGAATTGGGAGTATGTTTGCCGGCCACTAGAGTACGGCGGCCTTGGGGTACTCAACACTGACAAGTTTACGAGGGCTCTCCGTTTGCGATGGCCGTGGTACGAATGGAAGGAGCCCACCAAGATGTGGGTGGGAATGGGAAACCCATGTAATGAGGAGGACCTCAACTTTTTCTATGCTTCCACCACCATCACCGTTGGTAACGGTGCGAGGACCCCCTTTTGGGACTCTCCTTGGCTCCTTGGGCGAAAGCC